TTCTTGAAAATTAATATTTTTCGATCGGAAAACTCTGGTTCTCTTCACAAGACTTCCAATAACAATGTTTGTTTATTTAACCATTTTCAATGCTAAAGATTTTTTATTTATATAAAATATATAGTTACTATGAAAAAATGGTTAACAAAATAATTTGGTGTTATTACTGGGAATCTCCTGAAGCGAAATAGGGTTATGCGGTCGAAAAATATTAATTTTAAAGAATTCTATACCAATTCTACGAAAATTTGTTTTTCCCCATACAAAATACATGGAAAACTTTGAGCGCTTTGAGCGACCTCTAAATATTTTTTTTAATTAAAGATAAAAAAGTTGGGGTATTTTTTCGGTATAGAACAATCTTAGGGGGTGAGAGCATAAAAATTCCGACTTTGCTTTTCTTTTACATGCATTTTTGGACCACCCTAATGTACACACATGTGTATGTAATGTTGCATAACAAGCCAATTATTAATTCAATTATTTGCTTTCGTTTGTTTTGTTAACTCCGTTAAATTAACTGATTTTATGAATTAATACTTAAACTTGATATACCCGGCGCAGGTATCAAATATCATCGTTTCAACTTTCTCTAAACTAAGTCTTATTGTTAAAAGATTGCTGTAACTATTAACTTGGAGTAAATTAGCGTCTTGAGTTATTGAAATATCGGATGTTTCGCATGTCTGAAATTTACCGTTATACGGGAAGTGGGTGGAATTTTAGTCCGATTTGAACAATTTTCTACGAATTTCTCCCTTGTACTAAGGTAATTAGGTGCACAGAGTTTGGTAGAAATTGATGAATCGGTTACTGAGATACACATTTGTGGTCATAAGGAGGCAGCGCCATGCCCATTATCCAAAAATGCATAATCGTCTAATTTTCTTCTAAGTGGTTATTCTAATTATCGATTTTGGGTCAATTAGCTTCAGCAGCGACTGAATTATCGCGTTTTCGTGTTTCTGTAAACTATCGTTTTATGGAGGTGGGCGTGGTCAATGCCCGATTTCAAAGATTTTCAACAAATTTCTTAGCTGGGCCCTAGGCAAGGTTCATACCGAGTTCGGGAAGCATTGGTGAAGCGGCTACATAACATTTCATCATAAGTGGGCGGGGTCACTCCCATTTTCCAAAAATTTCATAACAGTACTATTTTTTATCAAAATTTTACTTCAGATACTAATTTTCAACAATTTGGATCCAATATTTACGGAAACTAGTAAGCCCGCACGGCGTTAAAACGCCCTAGATAAAATTTCAAAAACCTTCAAACTATTCCAAATACTAGTATAAATAGTAAGGTATAAGAGATTCCAGTGTCACAATTCTTCTAAATTTGTGCAACCGTTTCGCATAGTAGATTTTTAATATTATAAAATTTAAAATCAACGCTGACTCCCGTATTTATATAAATCACATAAATTTTGCATTAGTTAATTAAATTAAACCTTTCAAACAGATGGCAGCCCTCTTGAAAAGTATTTCCAAGCTAAACTCTTGTTAACATCGCGATACATATTTTAATTAAGTGATAAATTAAGTTGAGTTTGATTTTTTAAACATGTGGCAACCGCACTAAATATAGTTCAGATATAAAGATTTTAATTGATACCAAAATTTTATTAATTCATTTAACTTATTGAATTCTTTGAATTGAACTATTTAAAAAAGTGGAAACCCTTTTCCATCACCTCAAAAACAGTCTTAGCGTTGAAAATAAAGATTTCTTAACACACTTTCGTTTGACATTCATATTTTGATGTTTCAAATAATTTGTGTATAAGTTAACTAAATTCGACAATTCAAGCAGGTGGCAACCTTGTTCAAAATATTTTCAAACTACTACCTTCTTAAAACCATTTCATTTGGCACCCATATGGTGATACATACATACATACTTCTCTTACCAATTTTCCTTAATTCAAATTGAATTTTATTTTTTAAACAGGTGGAAACCCTCCTATAATAAATCCCTCCTGTAATAAATAAATAAATCCTTAATGCACATCTACAGCCCGAGCCATTTAATTTGACACCTCACTTTGAAAATACAACGAACGGTACGGATCTGATGGTATTGATTATTGAAAAATTTGATTTTAATTGTTCATGGCAACTCTTTTCGAAAAAATAAAACTAGTTTACACATCTACAGGCCAAGCGCTTTAATTTGACACCCCATTTTTGAAAATCGAACGAACGGTGCAGATCTTTTGTGCGGAACCAAAAATGCTTTCGCGTATTATGTATATACATAGATGGGTGAAAATTATTTGTTTTTTTTTTATAATTTTTTGATGTTAGTCAAAAACTGGGCACGAACCCAGGCCCTGAGGATTGGTAGCGCGCACTACACAACATCGGCCCCCATTTTCGCATTCCAACCCACCCAAATTCTGGGTAAACACAGAAAAGTAACAAGCACAAAAAACACTTAAATCTAAATAATGCAACTCGGACCGTTTTGCAATTAAATAATTCAATATTTATACATAGGTAATACATATGTAGATGTAGATAAGAGTACATATTCGAAGCAGCTACATTTGGGTTTGTTTCAGTTCATTCAAAGGATATGCGCTTTTGCCTTCCTGAACAATAAAACATGAAAAACCCTAATAACAACCTAGATAATGGAGATATTGTTTGATAAAATAAAGGAAAGATATGAAAGGGATAATGAGTAGCAAGCAGATGCATACGAATAGAGGATAAGTAGACTCACAATACTTAAAACATAAATGTCCTTTGACTCACATACTTATAAAACAAAAACATGTACGAGTGTATGTGTAGTGCCGATTGTGTTTTCTAAAAATAAGTTTGAGTATTTGTGCTTTCCCCCCAGTCACTGCGGTAGCAACTGGAGCGCAATGAAATCGATGTAGGTGGTTGGTTCAGCTCAAACAACCCAATAACATCAATAAAGGAGCACTGGCTGCCACAGCAACGCCGACCGGCGGTGCAAAATACAGCAACATAAAAAAAAAAAACAAGGAGAAATAATGACAGTAATATTCGGAACATATTCATACACAAAACTAAAATAAACAAGTTCATACATAAAGTCTTACTATTATGTATGAACAACTCGAGCAGAGGATAAAACGGAAAGTTATATGTATGTATAAGTAATCACAAAATTTAGATAGTTTTATTATCCACTCGAAATACAAATGTACATACATTAGTACGTATGTATGTGTTGGAATGTAGCAATAAAAATGATTACATACAAAAATGCATATAATAATATCCCAACACTTTTTATTGATCTTGAGGCCGTTTCTAATAGTTCATATCCCAGTGACAGCGGTGAAGAAGTCTCATGAGGAGATGTGGTGATAGTTGCTATAAAATGTGGGTTGTTTTGCCACAACATTTTTTCATTACAAACGGCCTGGAGCTCAATAAATATTGTTGAAGATAATTGTTAAAAAGCCATTAACAACAAAAACAAATTTTAAGATATCCGCAAAACTGTTTTATTAAAATAGCCTAATGGCCTATTAAAAAACAAACGACAGTCATTTAAAATAGCGATTCCAGCACAAATGAACTCTGTGAGACCAATAAATGTATTAAAAAAATATCTGTCAAATATTGTGTTTGAAAAGATATTTTACTAGTATGCATTGAACCTTGACCCCTTTCTATCAAAGGACTGCGTGCACTTTATGAAACTTACGTTTTATGAAATGTACATTTTATGTGAAGTCCTACATTCCCACATTACACGTTTTTCTTCTAAAAAAAGTTTTTTTTTTGGATGTAAAAGCTTTTATTTATTTTCTGAAACATACAAAATTAAAAATTATACTAGCGAGTATAATGTCAGCTCTTGGTGCTAATAGTTTTAAATATTTTACAATTTTCATAATTTTCTGTAATCATGGGAAATATATATTTTTTTACAAGAATTCAATGTTCAGTTGCTGTACCACAATAACCAATGTCAAGGACACTTCTTTTGGAAACCTATAATAAACGTTCAAAAATTTCATTCAACTTCTTCCTCATTTTTTCTTAAATAAAATAAAAACAATTAAAAGTACATTACAAATTACTAAGTGAGCATCAAGTCAAGGTGCAGGAATGGTATTTTCAGAGGTAGTAAATAGTCGACAGTTCTAGCTTGAAGGTTCTATAACCTCTTATTGCTTTACTAGAGCTTCTAAAATATTGCAAAAACGCGATTTTGTTTTTGAATTTGGAGCTGATGGAAACTTTATGCTTACGGATTCGCAATCAGCACAGAACCTACAGAATGGAACCTACTTCCATTCTAACAAAAAATTTAGGAGAACCGATTTGTTCTACATGATATATAAGTAGTACGCTGTTCTCTTATATGAAACCGGGCTAAAATGTTAAAGCTGTTTTTGATTGACTTTTCTACGAATCCGTAAGCTGGGTTAATAGTGGCAAAAATACATCGATGTATTTCTTTGATTCGATGCATCGATTTGCATAGCATCTTTCGGATATTATTTCACAAGGAAATATGTTATCAGAAAAATTGTACAAAGTTCAAATTAATTACCGTAATTGAGCTAATTATGTTTCTAACGGTCCTTTCGGAGCCATTTAAATTTGTTGATCAAGCTCACTTCTCCTTTTTGCACAATTGAAAACTGAAATGGCGGTTCAATGTGCTAGAGGTGTCAGCATCGATAAATCGACTATGTATACATCGAGTGGAAAATTTTCTGTGCATGGAAGCAAAATATCGTTATTTCAATGCATTGATGTTTTTCCGACATCCCCAATCACAGCGACATTAGAGTGAGTACCGCGAATGCAAAAATTATTACACTTTTTGTGCGATGTTTGGACGATTTGGGATTTTAGTAAAAATGCATTTTATGAAACTGGTCCACTTCGGCACTCCGAAGCGTTTGGTACAGTTCAATGCACTTACTCACTATACATACATAAATACCTTGTAATAATCAATAACTGCTAAATATATTATTACCATGCAAAATTTCACTCACCTTATTCCTCTCAATTATACGTCATAATATCAAGCTGCCTTCGTTTGTATCTTAACGAGTATTACGCCGTAGCAAGCGTATAGGTTTTGAAATAGCAATTTAACAGCTGAGTTGAAAAGCAGAATATTAGCGTATAATATATCTATTGCATACATATATTTTAAACGTATCTTTCCTCTATTTATCGTTTGCACTTTTTAACACTATCTACGATTATAAGCTTCGAATCACTATTTTTTTTTTTAATTTTAATGACAAACCACTGAAATTATGTAAATTTTTCTTGATCAAATCTGAATTATTCGGGCAATTCGTGTAGCCACGTTTCCAGCACATTTATTTTGCCATCGCTGAAAGAAAGAGAGAAAAATTTGCATAAATTAATATTATTTAGAATTCAGCAGACCATTGTAATTTAATCACACTTGCTAAGTTTTAAGCCCAGCAAAAGGACGTACGCAGAAAAAAAGAGAACAAAAAAGTTTATAATCGCCACAACAACCAACCACAATGACAACCAAGCCAACGGGCTGGAAATAAATATATGCAAATTGTAAGTATGAATGTATGCACGTAGAAGCAGAATTCTGCATCAAATCGCCATAAAGGTGATTAAGGGGAAACATTTAATTTCTATCTGAAAAAGGTTGTGTGTAAATCCCACGCGCAACTGCAGAGAAACTTCCTCTTCATATTAAATATATAGGGTGATACATCTTGACCTTGTTTTTTTTTTTTCTTTCTTTAATTTTGAATACAACACTTAAAACAGAACTGGATATCAGAATCTTTATTATTGCCCAAAAGAAGAATCCCTAACAGAGTGACCGCGGGCTTGTGAAAAATTGTAGCAGAAAAGAGACTTAAAATGTATCACTTTCTTTTTCATTTAAGTATCAAAGCATCAATATGGAATAAAACCAATAATTTTTATGAAAAACAATTTTCCAAAACAATTTAATATTCATTGTACGAGCAAATTGAAATTATTTCCCGAAAGAGATTTGCATAATTTCAATTGCAGTTACACCTTGCAATTTTTATTGCCGAAAGTGATTCCTGTAAATGACTTTCTGACTGTTTACACGGCAAAGTAGACTTTCGATTTCACCTTTAGTCTGATAAACTATGTTTATCAACAGCTGATTCGTAGGTTTTTTCCATAAAAAAAAATAAAATAAATTGTAACAATAAGTTGAAGGAATTTTATTTAGTCATATGCGTTATGCCTTTCGGTAGCGGGCGGATTCAAAATTGGATGAATATCGTACAGCTAATGGCAGTTTACCAACTACCAGTCAAACTATCAAGCTTCCACTACGATAATTCGGTAACCGATAAACCGATACTAAAATAATTTTACACAAACAAAATACATGGGGCGAAATTTACCGCAAAACTCCACAGGCAAACACCGATGGCCTACCAACTGTCATTTTGACGAGCAGTAGGATTGCAATTTTTTGTGTGTAGGCACTTTGATGCCTTGATATGTATGTACAAGCATTTGCTGCATGTCGCCGCCAGACAACATTCTCTCAATTTCGTNAATCCCTAACAGAGTGACCGCGGGCTTGTGAAAAATTGTAGCAGAAAAGAGACTTAAAATGTATCACTTTCTTTTTCATTTAAGTATCAAAGCATCAATATGGAATAAAACCAATAATTTTTATGAAAAACAATTTTCCAAAACAATTTAATATTCATTGTACGAGCAAATTGAAATTATTTCCCGAAAGAGATTTGCATAATTTCAATTGCAGTTACACCTTGCAATTTTTATTGCCGAAAGTGATTCCTGTAAATGACTTTCTGACTGTTTACACGGCAAAGTAGACTTTCGATTTCACCTTTAGTCTGATAAACTATGTTTATCAACAGCTGATTCGTAGGTTTTTTCCATAAAAAAAAATAAAATAAATTGTAACAATAAGTTGAAGGAATTTTATTTAGTCATATGCGTTATGCCTTTCGGTAGCGGGCGGATTCAAAATTGGATGAATATCGTACAGCTAATGGCAGTTTACCAACTACCAGTCAAACTATCAAGCTTCCACTACGATAATTCGGTAACCGATAAACCGATACTAAAATAATTTTACACAAACAAAATACATGGGGCGAAATTTACCGCAAAACTCCACAGGCAAACACCGATGGCCTACCAACTGTCATTTTGACGAGCAGTAGGATTGCAATTTTTTGTGTGTAGGCACTTTGATGCCTTGATATGTATGTACAAGCATTTGCTGCATGTCGCCGCCAGACAACATTCTCTCAATTTCGTTGTTTAAAAACATTTAAATCTTAAAAAAAAAACTTGCTGAATAACTTCCTAAAACGTTATCATAAATAGTCCAATAGGGAACAGATTCTTATTTTGATTTAATATTAATATTCCATCAATGTTACCACCAGTACACTTTCTTTCAAGTGAAAATATGGCTGTAAAACTGTCAAATTGCCTGCAATGGATGCCAAGCAATAAGCGCTGACATATATTGCATGAGAAATAGGCGGTATCCAATGGAAATACATTTTGTGACATGGCTATCACGACAGGAGGAAACAGGGCCTTACCGAGCACCGAGTTACCGAGTACCAAGCCCTAACTTTTGTTATTGAACATAGCGAAAGTAAATATGATACTGTTCGTTTATTCACATTTTGACGTTTTTCGTCATCGACCATGAATCACAATACATGAAAGTTTCGTTCAGTGAACGACAATGAAGTTGCCACAGGCGTGCGACATGTTTTGTAATGCATACAAATTTAAAGATTTTTTTCTTTTGTATTTGGAAAAGTATCAAAATTGAAAAGGTAGCTCTCCAAAATTCATCGAAAAATTTATCACTTTTGATCCATTTATAACAATTATATTCAACAATGTTTATTGAGCTGGAGCCCATTTCTAATGAAATAGCTATCACTTCTACCATTTTTCCAAATTATTGTTGCTTTTCCACAAAAAGCTTTTCATTAAAAACGGCCTCAACCTCAATAAACATTGTTGAATTAAATAATTTCATTCAAATTTTTAGCGGCAGACAGAACAAAACGTAAATAATGAGCGCTATCGCACCATGATAACATACTTTTTGTTGCCTGAAATTGAAGCCCGTTATGACGGCAACATTTAGTTTCAGGAAGTTATCATCAGTGTTGCCAGAACTTATTCAGTGAATAGGCTAAATGAGCAAAAAATAAGGCTGAAAAAAACGAAATCAAAATTTTAGTTAGGGCTAAAAAAATAGAAAAACTTAATGTGGAATTAGTGAGACAGCGATTTTCAGGAAGAAACTTCAAAAGCAATTAGACTTTCAAATTAGTGCAAAATTTTGAGGCTGGAAAAGAACCACAATTTCTTGAGCAAAAAGGGAAAAAAATCAAATTCAACAAATTAGCGAATTATATAATTCAATATAGGTAAGAAAATGTAATAAACCTACTTTGCGTTATTTATTTTGAAGATTTTTTTAAGTATGGATTTTAGTCCGATTTCAATAATTTTCATCGGATTGCTTCCATATCTAGGTAATGAAGTGGGCCGAGATTTGTAGAAATTTATAAATCGGTTACCGAGATACAAATTTGTGGTTATAAGTGGGCGGTGCCCATCATCCTAAATTTTTAGTAATCTATTTTACAGCTAAGTGGTTATTTGCAGCATCGATTTTGAAGGAATTGGCTTCAGTTTTCGTGTTTCTGTAAATTACCATTATATGGGAGGTGGACGTGGTTACTGCCCGATTTCAAAGAATTCCAACAGATTCGTTAGATAGAGTTTGGTAGGGATTGGTAAAACGACTACTGAGATTCCAGCATTTCCTCATGAGTGGGCGGGGTCACGCCCATTTTCAAAAACTTTCATATTATTATTGTTTTGCACCAAAATTGTACTCCCCAAACCAATTTTTTGACAATTTGGATACAATATTCACTGAAATATCAAAGATTTATTCAAACTTACATTTATCTAATTTTAAACGCTTGTATACCGAAAATGTATGTCTTTAACTGTCACTTATATAGCACCACTGTAAAGGAAAACAAATATAAATTCCGAAATACACAATACAGTTGGGTTCGCTTCCTGGAGATTTCTAGCACAAGGACCGAAACATGGCTTTTGCTTCAAATTTATCAAAAAAGTAAAATTCTATGGGTAAAATAGCTCTAAAGTAGTGCTACTATACATATACTAGTGGCGTTCTTAGATTTTCCTTTAATACATTTTATAAGTAAATAAATGCCATTTGTCTGCCATTTTCTGCGGGCAATCTTTTCTCACTACATTCGCTAAATTTCTAAGCTTTCAATTGAACAAATAATAATAATGGATCTATCCCGGGCATACAACAGATTCCTTAATATTCCACAAATATTCAAAAAAAAAAGAAAAAACTCGGTGAAAACGTCTATTTTCGTTACATTTAAATTGAACTTTTGCTTAATAAAAAGATTAAACAAATTTTTCACTTAATTGCATTATAACCATCTGTATCCGAATCCATCACTACTTTTTAAGAATGCAATGCAGAAAATGATAATATTAACTTAAAACCGGCAGGTTGTTTCTAATTTATATATAACCACAGTTAGAATATTCTGTTTCCGGTCAACGGAGAGCGTTCGCTGTGCAAGTAGGAAAAGTGAGAAGGAGTGCGATGTATTATTTGGAATATTCTCTATCGAATGTAACTATTTTTTTACGTTTCATGCAAATTTTTTTAAATTGGTTTTTGGCCGCCTAGATCGTTCAAATACCCCTACCCTATGTGCAGTGTAATAAGAAACTGAGGAAGACGTTCTCTGCCTTAGAAAGGCCAGTCGGCGAAGAACTTGGTTTCACTCGGCATATCCAATTGGCGTCTGTTTTCACAGGAAATGTCTGGATTGTTATATTGGACTCCTCAATTGCTTTGGCGGTTACAGCCCCAAGCAAGCAGAAGAAGAAGACTACAACATATCGACGGTCCTGTGCAATAACGACGCAATTCACAATTCAAAAAATAAAATCTCTTACCCATGTCTGTAATCCTTGTATAATTCATGTATAATCTTTACCTAAGTAACTACTCAGTAATGAATCAGTGCTAAATGGTTTTTTTTTTAATTTCTCCACTTCATATTAAAAAAAAATAATTGCCAGAAATTAAATATTTTAAAATAACTCACTCATTAATTGCGTTCCCTATCTCGCAAGAATTTACAGGAATTTATCAGAAAGCGTTCTCGTACTCGGTTCTCTGACAAAGTAGGGGAGAAATGGGAGAGTAAAATTGGTCCGCTCTTTGTCAGAAGGTGCGGAAAATTTTTGCTTGTAAAATCTGGTAAAGTGACAAACCATCAGCTGTTCAAACGAATTGAAAGTTGAATAAGCAAACACAAAAGGACATCTGCATTTTCACCTTATTAAATATATATATATATCATTGCAAAGAAGTTGATTTGCTTGTATATTTGCGTATAATTTAGTAGATCGCCAAATGATAAAAAACTACCATGTAGACCAGTGGTCGGCGGGCTACAGCTCAGTGAGCGCTCTCTGAGCACATGTGTGTTTCACACGTATACGAAGAGCGGCAGCAGTGCATTTAACAGTCCCACTTATTGAATCCTTTAAAAGTGTTACCACTGATGTAGACAAACAATGGCGTCCACGGTGTATTTGACAGTTTTACCAATTTTTACCCGCACGTTTTGGTTTTTCTCTCTTTCTCTGAGAGCAATTTTGCTTTATGACAGTTTTACAGGTTTTATCCAGAAAAGTTGAGGAACGCAACTAACATAAGATTTCACACCGACATCAACACTAAATAAACTTGACAATAGCTCTGATCCAGTACTCCATGAACTTACAGGATTTTACACGAACTTGCAGGAAGTTACAGGAAAAATGTTCCCGTACTCCAAAATCCTCCAAAATCCTGTAAATGAGAGCGACTTTTGGAGAGTTGTGTAGAGAATGAAGTTGCAAGATTTTACTCGAACTTTTTCTTCTGGTAAAATCATGAAAAGTGTCAAGCAATCACTGGTCGACGTTTTTACAGGAAAAATGTTTTCTTTGTTCCCGTACTTTTTGTTGTTACTCACTTTTTACTCTCACTTCAGAGAGTAATTTTGCTGTTTGACAGTGTTACAGGATTTTTCACGAAAAGTATTGGATCAGAGCTAATGAAATAAATTACATTCATATATACCTTTATGTATGCATATATTTACATTAGGGTGGTCCAAAAACAGTAAAGTCGGAATTGTAACGCTCTCACCCCCTAGGATTGTTCTATATCGAAAAAAGTATACTCCTATTTTTTAATATATAATGGTATAGAATTCTTGAAAATCAATATTTTTCGATCGGAAAACTATGGTTCCCTTCACGAGACTTTCACTTATAATAATCAATTGTTTATTTAACCATTACTACTTTAATATTAACGATATTTTATTGGTCGCCCCACTGCATTTTTCGGGGTTTGTGTGGGTTTTTGGGGGACCTATAAATTATAGTTGCGATGAAAAAATGGTTAAATAAACAATTGGGTATTATTATTGGGCATCTTTTGCAGATAAACAGAGTTCTGTGGTAGAAAAATATTGATTTTTAACTATTCTATACCATTTATACGAAAAGTTGTTTTATCCCCATATAAAATTAATGGAAAACTTTGGACGCTTTGAGCGATCTCTAAATATTTTTTGATTTCAAAATAAAAAATAAGGGTATATTTTTTCGGTATGGAACAACCCTAGGGGTGAGAGCATAAAAATTTCGACTTTACTTTTTCACATGCAATACATAACCTGCACTGCACAGATGCTTTTTCGAATGCAGGACAAATAAAATGAAAATCGAATTTTTATATTCAGTCCAATTCTGAATACTTCCGGGGAGTTTGTTCTCCGGGACTTTGATTCTCACGAAAAAGAAATCCTTCGATAACACTGGTCTACAAATTTCAACTTTTTTTCTGCGAATAAGACGGGACCTGGTGTTTCTGAACGGATTTTTCGTGCTGAACACGAATCCGGGGTCAAAAATGTCCCATCACGTCACGTTTTCGAGAAAAAAGGGGTTGAAACCCCTAAAAACAGCGTTTTTGGCCATTTTCGAAAAATTATAGAGCTGAACCCTGACGTGGTACAAATTTTGCATATATCAGAAATTAAAGGCTAAACCGTGCCCTTTCGAATGAGCCCTATGCCGAATTGATCGCGTGCACCCTTAAAGCAGGGGGTGTATTTGTGTTTAGGGGTGCAGGAAAAATTGATCACAGAAAGAATTTAATCTTAAACGATCATAGAAAATTAATAATGCCAAGGTTTTAACTATATTAAAAGTCGCTGATTACGAATCTGCAGTTAGATTTTAAAAATTTAAGATGACGGGTCGAATATGGTGGATATAAAAATTGGACTCCTAGACACAAATACACCCCCTGATCTAAGGGTGCATGCGATTAATTCGGCATAGGGCTCATTCGAAAGGGCACGATTTAGCCTTTAATTTCTGACATATACAAAGTTTGTAGCACGTCAGGGTTCAGCTCTACAATTTTTCAAAAATGGCCAAAAACGCTGTTTTTAGGGGTTTCAACCCCTTTTTTCTCGAAAACGTGACGTGATGGGAAGTTTTGGACCCCAGATTCGTGTTCAGCACGAAAAATCCGTTCGGAAACACCAGGTCCCGTCTTATTCGCAAAACCCTTGTAGACCAGTGTAATTAACTACCAGGGAGTAGAATTTTCCCCGAAAACTTGGGAGGGAGAAATTCGAATTCGAAGAAGCTGTTTGACACTTTTTTGAGAGCTCAACTCCGCCATTTAATAAAAAAGGTCCTCAGGGAATTTTTACACATGATAGGAGGAAAGGGAATAAAGAGAAAACTCCCAGGGAGTTTCTGTTCACAATTTTTTTTTTCATTTTTACACATTCATGTTTCTGGCATATTGGTGACAATATGTATTTAATATGCACTACATACATGTACGTACATACATTGCATATGGGCTGCCGTTGTCCTGCCAAATATTTCAGCACAGACAGGGCGTGCGGATGTGATGGCTGGTTCGCCAAACACGCCTAACTTTCAGTAGCAAAATAGCCATTGCCCCTAAGAAATAAGTGAATGTGCGCTTATGTATGCTTACATACGTTTGTATGTACATTATCGAAGAAATTAAGTTTTATACATACATATGTATGTGTATATTTTTTATCAAAGTAAGACAGAAGTTTACGTTAATGAAAAAATATTGTCTATGGAATCGGAGTCACAATGGATTGGAATGATGAAAAATGCGAGGAAGGTCAGCAGCAACAATTCCAGCAGAATTCAAGATATCTATACGACGGTGTACACAAGCACACACATACGTACACACGCATATGTATGTATATACAAGTACATATGCCCTGCAACAAATCCTGGAAAGTTAAACGTACTCCCCACGCGGAGTATACTGCTGTACTGCGCAGCAAAGATTTGTAGTAGCGAAAACTTGGTTGATTGGATTGAGTTCAGTTTGAAGGTTTTCCGAGGACTACTGCAATTTAGCGAGGAAATAATATTTTAAATTTTACTTTTCCGAGTACCTAATTTCTCTTTGAAAAGAAGTAACACTTTTCCACTAGCATATCACTACACAATTGAACATTTCCACCTTAGTATCTAAAGAAAAATCATAATTTCATTTTTGCTCACAGCGAGTCAGCGATTGGTACTCTACCGCACTTTCAAACTTGACTATCAAAGTACATCCGACACACTGACGTGTTCTTGCGAACTGACCAATGTTTCAGCCGAAAACATAACTTAAAGCAAAGCTCGAACCGACTACAAACGAGGCAATGACCGACTAAACGAGAGACGAGAGCTTAGGAGAACACACAGCGAGCCATATTTTAGTGGACAATTACTTGCTTGGAAAAAAACGTTCTCACTCAGGATAACACCTTGAGAATGGTTAGCATCAACTCTCAACAATTTGGCCGAACGCATGGTATTTGGTCGTACTCTATCTCTCTCTTTAAGGTTAGTTTACTTTGTTGTCAAATGAATTAACAACGAGCTGCTGTCGCTGAGCATTCGCTTTTTTCCAGCCAGTCCTACAACTACATAAGCGATTGCTTCAGCATTCCCCAATCGGGCATGTCCTCCGCTATTTAGTTGCTGTGGCGTGCTGCACGCACTTCGCCCATATCAACTTAGGCTTTCATACGTACATATTTCGTTTCTTTAACCGAGCTTTTCCAGCCACTTTGGCTGTTGAACTGCTTCTTTTTAGTGCGCTTACGGTACGCACGAATTGTTTGAATTCCATTTTAAGGATTTGGCTTTCAATTGTAGGACATTTTGACTGCGTTATTCACCTTTGCTAGCCTTTGTGTTCCGTGTATACATATCTATATGTAGCTTTTAAAGGTATTTGTGTATGTGCGTGTATTTGTACGAAATTCTCCCTTTTTGTGTATGCCAATTAGTTTTACAAATTTAGTTAATTATTGCACAAAAGAGAAATGTGCATTTTAATTGAATCATTTCGCTTGATGACGTGTCATGCAGAAGCTATATATAATTGCTCAGTCATACAACTTGGTTAGGGCGATCTGAAGCAGTGACTGAATTGAGTTATATGCCAAATTAAAGTGCAAGCTGCAGTTGCAGTTGACTGTTTTTGTCACAAAAGTAAAACGTGGTAGAAAGGGCGATAGTGAGCAGTGTAATTTATTGAAAAATATTAAACAATTTTCCGTGGAATTGTTTTGAAATATTTTTCGCGAAAGTAAAAAATAAAAATAGCTGAGACCAATTTCTTTTTTAAACACTGACAAATTTAAAGGACCCCGGATAACGGAAAACTCAAAACATTAAAAATTTATTGATGTGATTTTTGAAATGAACGATCCAAATTAGCCGGTATACATATTTATGTATTTTAAAATTTTTAGAATCAGTGGTTGAATTTTTGTACTGAAAGGCTGAAAAAGAAAACACCGCTCCAGCTCGTCTCATAGAAAACGTTTTTCTTATTATATAAGGATATTCAACAGGGAATATATCTTACTCACTACATATAACCTCTTCTTATTTCTTTGAAATCAAATATATGTAAAATGTTCTTGAATTTATTAGGACAGTATACAAAATAAATTTATATAAAAAAAATTGTTTTGCTCTGAAATAATAATTATTTTGTGAGTTGTTTTCTTTTTGATCAAAAAAATCATTATATTGTGAGTTTCTCTGATTAAAAATATAAAACTCATAATATTATGACTACAGTAAAACCCGCTTAAGTACCTCACGAAAAATGTCAGCTTTTTGAGGTACTTAGGCGGGTTGGGTACTTAAAAGAACCAGCTTAAGTACCTCGATGCGGGCACGTAAGCGAACATAATTTGTGATGTGTACTTCTTGTTAACTTACATACCTAAATAAGTCCTTGAATAAAACATGAACGTTTAATGAAGTATACGCAATTTAAAACCAAGATCGTAGCATTATTTAAACACATAAAGGAAAACTTTATTTAAAAAAAAGATAAAGCAATGTTATATAATTTTCACAAGAATTAAATTAGAAGGTCATTGATTATACATATTTATACATACATATAAACAGGCCATATCATTTTGGACCAAATTCGAAATGATATTGTTCGTCACTAATGTATGTTTATTTTTCAATTTTTAAAAATTTTCAAATAAAAAAATGCATCTTCTAATAAATACCATAGAAACTTATCGTCTTATTCATGAAAAATAAATTAGCTTTATAAAAGGTTTATAAATTCAAAAATTTAGGGAAAGAGGGATTTTCTTCAGAATACATTGAAAAATTCACGGTGCCCAAAAACTTTGGGAACTTAAGCGGGTTAGGTACTTAAGCGGGAGGGGGTTACTTAAGCGGGTTTCACTGTATTTTTGATCAAAAAGAAAACAACTCATAAAATAATTATTACTTCAAAGAAAAAAAATAACACTCGAAAAATGAGAACAAACACAGTTATGGTTCACTTAAGAACTGAGAAATTTGAAAAGAAGAAAGTCGCGTTATTTTAGATTATAGAAAAAAAAACGGGGTTAGACTCATACTATGTAAAATACTCAATTTTGCGTCATAAGTTCTTTGAATTAAACAAAAAGTTTTACAAAGATTATTTGTAGAAAGTCAAACGGCGCATAATATATAAACCCAAATCAATTTTATGATTTCGTAAACTCCAAGCGTAATGTACGTGGGTTTCCGTCCGCCATGAGGTATCAAATTGCCGTCTCTAATGACAATAAAATAATTTCTAACATTTTCGCTCAGTTTTTTTAATCCAATTATTCCATTAACTCACATGCTAAACTAAACTAAGTCCAATTAACTCAATAAATATCACAGTAATGACTCCCAATAATGTAGTAGTTTATCTGAAATCCTTAAAGCAGTCCTTTATTTACGGTCCTGATCATATCTCTACTTGTTTTCTTAAAAATTGTGCTGATCATCTCTATGAGCCGTTAACATCCTTATTCAATTTGTCTCTTAAAGAGGGCGTTTTTCCAACTGTATGGAAGGAATCGTTCATAACCCCGTTACATGAAAGCGGTAGCAGCAGTGTTGCTGTTTGAGCCCTTTGGTGGCTAGATTTAGCTACCACATACTTTTTTTGGCAACATAAATTTAAAATTGCCCCCAGCCCCTTTTTTAGCCCTTTTTAGAATTTATTCATACTTGGCATGAAAAACTTGTATATGCTTAATTTGATATCATTTTTTGTTCATCTATCTAGAGATACATTTTTAAACTAAGAAAGACTGATATATATACATATATGTATTATATGTAAATAGGTTTAAGGCCCTTAATATGCTTAATTTGTTAAATGGATTGACCGTGTATGTTCTTGTGGTGTGATTCTACCAGCTGCTGGTGCGACTTCAAAAACTATTTGAAAATTCTATGATCGTACCAGCATGCTGGTGTCGTGAGTGGTGAAATTGGATAAATTTTCTAAGTAAAAAGTATTTTGGCGGAAATTTCTTGACCTATATGGGTCAAAGCCGTTTTGTGGAAGAGTTCACGATATTGCAGTTGTGAATTTAGAAAAAAACAATGTTTGACAAAATGGTAGAAAAATTAGGAAATTTCGGATCTAATCATTTCGATCTTTCCTCGACCTCATTTGTAAAGAAATAAATATTGTACCAGCATACTGGTAAGTTATATGCTTCGAGCCTGATGGTACAATCACTTGATGGAGCCGGCAAGCTGGTGTCGTATATTTCCCCTTTTATTACTAAAGGTTTTTGGTCGGATAAAATATTAGCTTTTTTTTCCAGACTTCATTGTTTTTCCATAACATTGCTTATTGAAAATGTTTACGTGTATACTTATATGTAGGTAAAAAATTTAGCTACCATTTTCAGCCACAACGACTTTTCTTAGCTCTTTTTTAGCCCTTTTTTTTAACGGAATTTGGCTACCGCTAAAAATGATTCGCGGCAACACTGGGTAGCAGATTTTTAGTGGAGACTTACCGGGGCATAGCTAAGCTTTCTGCAATTCCTACATTGTTAGAAGCAATTATAACAAATCAGTTGACGCATTCTATCTATTTATTCTAACATTTCATACAGTCAACGTAGATTTTTCAAGGACAAATCAACTTCTACAAATTTACTTGAGTTAACATCTTATATCTCAAAAGCATTTAGAGAAAACAAAGATGTTGNAGCCAGCAACTATTCCAGCTTTGGAAGACAACATTTCCGAAGAAATTCGGGCTATTCCGGCCGAAATGCTCGAAAAAGTTGCCCAAAATTGGACTTTCCGAATGGACCACCTAAGACGCAGCCGCGGTCAACATTTAAATGAAATTATCTTCAAAAAGTAAATGTCATGGACCAATCTAACGTTTCAAATAAAGAACCGATGAGATTTTGCAAATTTTATGCGTTTTTTTTAAAAAAAAAGGTATCAAGCTCTTAAAAAATCACCCGTTACATATAATGACTTCAGTAAAACATCTGACAAAGTGTGCCACTCGTTGTTCATCTATAAACTTGATCGTCTTGGTCTTCCACCTAATTTTCTACGCTGGATCTTTTCATACCTCTAGGATAGAGGGTAATGTTTAAAAATACTGTCATTGACGTTACTTCAGGAGTCCCTCAAGGTAGCCACCTAGGCTCGGTTCTGTTCTGGCTTTTTATAAACGACATTTCTACAGATATAAAATAATCCAAAAATTTTAATGTACAGAGAACCAAAAAAAAGTTGTACATTGAAGGTACTCATCTTCAAAGTTTAATATGTTTGCATAATTCGGATTTTTGCAAAAAAAAGATGTATATCAAATACCCACGCTTAGTTCGAGACCTTAAACAATGCAAAGAAACTCCATTTTTCGAAACCAAAACAAAAAAACTTGTACACTAAGTTCAAAATGATTAACAGGTTAAAAAGCACTTTTAAGATCCCTCTGGCTCCTAATTTGATGCCCGAGGCAATTTTATGGACCTTGGTATCACAATGGGTTCTAAGCTTAATTTTAATCTTCACATTAATGTGACAGTCAATAAGGCTAAAGGTGTACTTGCATTTGTGAAACGATGGTCAAAAGAGTTTTGTGACCCTTATATCACTAAAAACCTGTTTACATTTTTAGTTAGACCGATTCTGGAATACGATTCGCTGGTTGGGAATCCAAGGTATCAAATTTACTCAGACAAGATAGAATCAATTCAATATAATCTTCCGCCTTATACGAGCCGA